GACATATGGGGAGATTTCACTGACAAGAAAGTGGAAAACCAATCTTCCACCACACCATCGGGCACCTTCACTTTCGCAGCCCGCTCTTCATCAATTGTCAAAAAGGATTTCTCAAATAAAGGCAAATCATCGGTACCTTTTTCAGTCGCCTTACGGCCGGAGTCACGCTTCTTCTTGGATCTTTTCTCCACCTCGGACGAAGCACCGACGTCCGCCATCTTCACCAGCTTTCTCTTCTTTCTCCTCTCCGGTTGCTCCAATTCAAGTGACTTCGGGGACGCTGGCGGCACCTCGGTGTGGACAACCTCAGTGGAAACTATTTCAGTCCCAGCAATAATCGGCTCCGGATCAGCCTGATTGATCGCCACAGCTTCCACTACCGACAAAACTTCGGTAGTCGCCACCTCGGGCACAGACTTCGGACTCCCCGGCATGGCAGCCGAAGTGGCACTCGACCCCATCTCGGTCGATTTTTTCCCAACAATCTTCTGACCAGCTGTCTTCTTCACCAATGCGCGAACAAGATCCCTCCTCATGGCGTCGTTTAACCTCAAATCACGGCTCTTACCGACTTTAGATTGAAGGTCTTTATTCGGGAACTTACGTCTGAACTCTTTGGCTTCTTTGACCGAGCTGTAGCCCAAGAAACCGAGGAGAGGATAATATACTGCATATCAACAAAAGACAAGAGTCATAAACAGTTATGTCATATGTATAAGGAAATTCGACATTTTTATTGGTTACACTTCTCTTACCGGGGTCAAATTTCGATGTCGTGACTCCCAAAGACAAACCAGCCGCTTCAAGTTTCGAGTCAACCACTAGTTTGCGATAATCCCTCTCTGCTTTATCCAAACCGGCCAAAGTTATCAACTTCCCACCGAACTCCGGGCTTAACTTCGGCTCTTTTTGCTTTGTCTCTTTTTCTACAACAGAGTAAAAGTTCCGACCTGTTAGTACACAGAACAATACAAGAATCAGATAAGCATATCCGAATTGACAAAACAGAAAAGTAAACTCACTAGCCCCGGAATGAATTAACATGGGTATGGTCATCCCGTCAATTCGGCGCTCATGGAAGAAGTCCACCGACTGCCATTCTCCGCCTATCCACACCCATTCCTCCTGAAAACCGTGGAGACTCTTCGGAATCTCAGTAACGATTTCCCCAACCTTGACACCATGTTGCGGCTTCGCCCCGGCAAAGAAGCAACAGGACGATTCAGCCACTCTCCTCTTCGGGCTTTGTTTAAAAGCAAAAATACTCCTCATCTCTTCGCATGATGGGAGTCCCTCACCCCTCTCATGCAGCAACACCATTAGCCCGATTATCTTCTTCCAGCTATTCGGTGTGATTTGGCACAACGGCAACTCCCAGCTCCGGAGGTATTCGGTGATCAAATTCGGCAACGGGAACCTTAATCCCGACCTCAG